AGGGTTTTAGGGGTTTAGAGTTTGAGGTTTTTTAGGGTTTAGGATTTTCAGTAGGGGATGAGGATTTGGGATTTCCATAAACACAGGGATCAGCAACATACCCGAAAGTATTGTTCGGAACCTCACCCTGCATCCCCCGGATATTTCTGGCCCCTATGGAGAGAAACCTGCCGCCATATTCCATTTAGAGGGAACCCCCCAATTTTTGGAAACCTCTCATTTCGGGTCTAGGTCATGAGGACAGGCGTCGCTGGACAAAGACGGCAGTTTCTCACAACAAGTGGATTAGGGCTGGGGAGTCCCCCAACAAAAGGGTACTCTAGGGACGTGAGGGATTCATGGGGATTGCAGGGGAGTATACTTGAGGGAGTTTATTAACCGCAGACACCATTTCCGCCATAGCCGACTTGGGCACACTCGCTGCAGCTTTGCAGGCCCAGGCGGCAACCTTCGACCCGAGGTTGAATAGTGCAGTGAGCCACGGAACGATCCAGACCATGGCGTCCACAACCAATGACTTGGGTCAGCTCAGGTTGGCCACCTGCCGTCTTGTGAAGCCCGCTGACAAGAGCGGCGTCGCTGCGGGCACTCGTGTTGTCTCACGAGGACAGCAACCGGCATTCTGCTGAGGGGCATCTGCAAGTCTGGCTCGCAAGTCAGAATTCAGGATTCGAAGCCCTAAATCATGCTGTAAACCCTAAACCTCACCGGGTTTACGGTTTAGGGGGTTTACGGTTCCCCTTACGACTTAGAAGAACGTTGCTTATGTGGTTGGGGTTGGGGGTGTGAGGCTGGGGGGGGTGTAAATCAGAACTGTTGATGGACTAAGCCCTAGATGAGGCATAGTCTAAGCTGCTTGAAGGGGGGGGTTATATAGGGGAGTATCATAGGGTCTACTAAGGAGGATACTAGGAGTTTAGACTATAGCTCAGATGACCTTAAATACCCACACCACATACCTGGGAGTCATGCAGGTTTGTATGCATCAGCCATAGGTAAATCCTTGACCTAGCTTAGGAGCGAAACCATGAATTGCTGCCTTTATTCTTACAGCTGTGAGTATGACTAAGGCTAGTTCCTGCTGCTGTCTTGTCCTTGGCCCGGTTTTTTTTTGCAATTTCTTGTTCGACTCCCTGCAGTTCAGGCTACAGAGGTTCCATGCAATACGAGCTGTTTCAAAGATCCCGGCGTGCCGATCAAATACCCGGAGTACATCTCGCATCGCTCGCTGGCGTGGAAGCGTCTCGGCCACTGCTTATGTTGCCACACATGTTTAGGGTTTAGGGTGTAGGTTTCGGGCTGGGGCTGCCAATAGAGGGATGGTTTTAGGGGTGTTTTTATAGATATTGTTACTGGCATCCACCCCCCCCCCCACCTGCCAAGTACCAGGAAGAAGTGCCAGGAAGACTGGACGACTTTGGATGTAGGGTCTAGGGATTAGGGATGCATGTAACCCACCATCTTAGAATTTCAGGTTCAGGGTATAAGGGTCTGGTTACATAATAAGAGGATTTTGGCTCCCCCAACCCCCATAAACAGAACCCTTTAAGAGCCATATGATAGTCACGAAGTCATAGGGTCCTTACCCTAAACCCTAGACCCCTAAACCCTAAACCCTCTTTGGGAGTTTGCATAGACCAAATCCTCTTGCTATTGCAAGCACCAAAGCACAAGGATGCTTCCTTGCGGGCGCAGGGCTTCCTACATTGAGAAGGCTCTAAAAACATGTGCTTGGGGGATCCTCATGCGGATGTGGTACGCTAAACCCTACATCTACACCCTAAGGTCCTTAGGTCTACCCTAAACCCTAAAGTCCTTAGGTCTCTGGACATTCCGTGTGGGCAGTTTCCCAGATATCCTTTCACAGCTCTCCATTCCAGCCCCTACATACCACCCAATGTCCCTGTAAAAGCTTAATGACAGCCTTAAGCGAGGGTAATTTCCCACGAGTAACTCCCCAGATGAACCTCCTCGTAACTGTTAGGGCTTAGCGTTTAACATTTGTTTGAGGATTAATGGTGTCGGGAATCGACGAATACGATTTCGTTTGAAGCACGCTACAGCTAAATCCTAAACCCTAAACCTAGCTAATATGGCTAGTTAAAATCACGTTTGGAGCTCAGAGTCTCTACGCGCACGGTTGGTTTCTTCTTCAACAGATGCTCAAAGAGGTGCCTAATGCCATATGTGCATATAAAGGGCGAGGTGCCGAAAAAAACATAAAATTGGGTCGTATCCGTAGTCGGTTCTACTGAACGTGCTAGATTGCAGTAGCGCAGCGTTTTGTAACAGAAGCCAGTGGCCACGAATTCCGATACCTTCCACACATATGTATCTATGAACATACTATATCCCCCCCCCCCCCACCGTTGGACCCGACATATGTACATACATATAAACATATCTTTATACTCGTTTATTTGTAGAAATGTATACGTGCATAACCAGTGCGTCGCCTTGCCTCTTGTGAGTGGAGGATGAAGCAACAGATCCCTGCATACTCTTTAGGGTTTAGGGTTACTTGGAGGATCAGGGGGACTTAGTAAGTAGGTTTATAATTAGGAGAGCTAGGGTTACTATATGGGTTCTAGCGGTTTTTAACCTACTTACTAAGTCTCCCTGACCCTCCAAGTAGCCTACTTGTTAAGTCCCATAAGCCTGCACGTAGAAGCTATGCAGGCTGGTCATCTCTTTCTAGACCCTCAACCTTCAACTCCAAACCCTGAAGCCCACTTAAATGCAAAGTTTATAGGGCGAATCAGAACCCAGCTAGACCATGACTGGAGCCCCATACAGTCGTGCCTACACCCTAGACCCTACAGTCAAAATCCCTCAACTCAAGGAACTTCCTCAGACGAGCCATAAATCTAAACTCCTTAAAGGGGGTTATACAAGAGACTAGATATAGGGTTTAGGGCTTGGGGTTTTAGGATCTAAACTTCTTAAAGCGGGTTATATAGGGGATTATATATAGGGTTTAAGGCTTAGCGTTTAGGATCTAATCTCCTGAAAGGGGTTATATAGTGAATTATAGCGGAAAATTTTTATAGGGGCGATTAAGGGGGATACTAGGAGTTAAGACTATGGCTGAGATGAGTGATCTTCAAATACTTTCTTCAACAGTAGTCCGGTACCTACTTGGTATCTTGGAGAGGCATAAAAACCATGTGTTCCTGTTGCGGAAGCTACGCATCTCCATAGCGGGCTGCCTAAGTCCTGATTTCTGGAACCTTCTAGCCTGAGCCCTAGATTCGTATTCCTGTTTCATACCTCTTGTAATCTTCGACGATTAAACTTGTGAAGTCAACAACATGTGAGCTATAGTTTCAACTACTTGAGGGTGCTACATGGGGGAATATATATGTAAGTATATTAGGGGTTTATCTGGGGGATACTAGGAGTTGAGACTATAACTCATGTCATGCACAAACCACTCCTTCAAAGGTGCATTGATTCCTTTGTGCAGGCCTTGCTCTCCTGCATTATTGAAGGTAATAAGCGTGGGCTGCTAATATGAGCCCTTAGGCCTTCGAGGGGGAATTCTAGGAACCCTTAAGGGTATATGTAGGGTATGAGGATCCCAGGGTTCAGGGCCCATACTAGGGGCCCATGGTTTTAACCTTAGTCATTAAAGGTTTAGGGCTATGGAACCCCAAAGCGGGAGTGAGAAGATCTCCGTTCTTCTTTCATGATGCCTACCATACGCCCGCAATAGCCCCCGAATTAAACCCTAAAACACCCTACGCCCTCAAAGCCCTAACGCCTTAGAAAATAACGCTAAACCCTAAACCCTAACAATCCTAAACCTCCTATATCAAACAGTCGCCTAGGCAAGGAAAATGGATCCCAAGCCCCGCCACCGTCAACAAGTTTGTGAGGCCCCAGCCTGGTTTCCATCGAGGGTTTAGGGGTTTAGGGGAGTTTAGGGTT